CCAAGGCCAAGGCTGAAGAGGAAAGATCTCAGAGAGAGCAAGTCAGGAGCCAGCCAGTCAGGGACAGTGGGAGAAGGCTTCTCTGTGAGGAGCCAGATGACCATTAGGGACCAAGGTTGGTGTTTGGAGCCTAAACAGGGTGGGATGTCGTGAAGGACCAATGACAGACTGACCTCCTTGGCTTCTTCACATATCCCCTGCTCAGCTAGAGTTTTGAAACATTCTCATGACTTCTTTGGAAAGTCTTATTTCTCAGAGGTTATCAGGAAAGTAACAGTGCACCTCATTCTCAAACACCTTCTGAGGTGAGGCAACCTGACCTCAGAATGTCACTCCATCTTAGTCATCACCCTGCTCCTCAATAAATATAAAACAGCCAAAAGTTTTGCCATCAAAGTAATATGTAGTTAGAAGAAACACAGGTATCAGGCTATCGGTCTTCTCCAGGTTCCCTCCAAGCTCCTGAGGGAGGGCTTCCTGGAAACTGCAGAAGATTTAAATTAGTGCTTTTCAAACTTCAAGGTCCCTGAACCCCTTTACACTTAAAAGCTACTGAGGGGCCAGTTAGACGGCTCAGTGGGTAAAGGAGCTTACCACCAAACCTGATGACCAGACTTTGATCCTCAGGACACACACGTGGAAGAAAAGAACTTACTCTCCCAAGTTGCCTTTGACCTCTACATGCACCCTGTGGTACAATGTGTACACACGTACACATGTGAAACAAATAAATAAGTAAATAAATAAAGTGATGATATATTGCTAATCCTATAATAAAGCCACTGAAGATCAGAGAAGCAAAACATCCAGCCACGCTCTTACCTCTACCTCAGACTGAAAGGGTGATCCTGACTCCACGAATCCTTAATGTGGCTGGAGACAGAAAGCCTATTTGTAGCACAAATAATAAAAGCCAAGAGACAGATATTGAGGTTCAAGCTGAAGATCAGAAAAGCAACGCAGCCAAGTTACCAGAGAGTTCTTACCTCTACCAAGGCCAAGGCGAACCTGTCCTCAATGGGGCTAGAGACTACTTGCCAGGATATGACTACTGAATACCCTGCTCCTATCTTATATACCACTCTAGTGCTGGGATTAAAGGTGTGAGCTCTGTATCTCCTTTAGTCTGATTCACTGTCATGTAGCCCTGAGTGGCCTTGAATTCACAGAGATCCACCTGTCTCTGCCTCCTGACTCCTAGGATTGTATGTGCCACCACTGTCAAGCTTCTATGGCTATGGCTACTGTGGCTGGCTTTGTCTTCTGATCTTCAGTGGCTTTATTAGATCATAAATGATATGTCACCACACTATAATCTATAAGCAAAAGAGGTTTGTTTTTTTTTAAGTGCCCATACAAAGAATTAAAAAAAAAATACTACTGAGTTTGTGTTGACCATTTGCTGTTGGCCATGGGGCCTACCCTTAAATGTTGCTTGTATACCCAGTGAGGTTCCATTGCAGAAAATTAATTCTACTTTGAAAGAAGTTACTAATTGGAGATAGTTTCTGGGTCAGGGATGGGGACTTGTTAGAAGAATTTTTAATGCTCCCAGCTGGTTGTAGTGTACAACAGCATCACACTGAAGAGCCTAGTAAGTAAGTCAATGGCCTGAGCTTGAATCTACAGTCTATTAGTTCCCCATATAACTCACTTCAAGGCAATTACTAGTTTCAGTTTTTCTTTTCTTTTCTTTTCTTTTTTTTAACCTGTACTAGGGTACACCATGAACAAAGTTAGGGATATTTAGCACAATTACCAATTTAAAGTTCTTAATGCTGTTGCTGCAAATTAGGTAAGTTTTAAGTTTGTGCTGTCATTCTTTGTTATAATGACGATGTAAACCAGCAGTCACTATCAGCTTTCAGGGACAAGGGTGTCTAAAGATGCTACCACACCCATGGCCAGGCTCCTGTATTAGTTGTTTTTCTCCCACTGTAACAAACACCTGACAGAAACAACTTGAAGAAGAGGTGTTATTGGGCTCATGGTTTCAGCCCATCATGGTAGGCAAAGAAAGCATGGCCGAGTTCATGGTGCAAGAGCTTGAGTGGAGCAAGAACTTAAAAAAAAAAGAGCAGGACTGGAAACCCTCAAGACTTGCCCCCAGTGGCCTCTGTCCACCACCTAGAGTCTGTGTTCCAAAGGTTTCATAACATCCCAAAATAAAACTAAGTTGGGGGCTAGGATGTCAGTACATGAGTCCTTGCATTTCACATTCAAACTATTAACAGCTCCTTAGGAAAGAATGAAAGCTCCCCTCACAGTCCTGCCACAAAGACCATCACCCCAAGTTTTAATCTCTTCATCGGGATACAGTCAGCAGTTCCTCTAGCTAGGACAAGACCCTGAAATTGCCAGGGGACAAGAAAGTTCTTGGCTGAGGTGCACAAAGCTGATGTTACTAGAAACCAGTATAGGAGGTGCCAGTACAGTATTCAATGATGGTGTTCACACTGTGCATCCTGTGTGTTTCTATGTATACACAGAGAGAAAGAGAGGGAGGGGGCACAGAAAGAGAAACATATGGAAAGACACACAGAGAGAAACAGAAAGATACAGAGTGAGAGACATGGAAGGAGCGAGGGAACGAAGGAGGGAGGGAGAGACAGAGAGGAGGAAGGGAGGGAGGGAGGGAGAGAGAGAAAAAACACACACTTTAATTGGTCTCAGATAATGCTTTTCCCTTCAAGATGATTGAAACATTTCGTCTCACAGAGAAGACACAGAATGGAAATATTTTTAATGGCTTTTTCTTGGCTTGTGAACGGTCCGTGAAGACCTGGAACAAGTGAGACTCCCTACTCATGTGTGCCTACAAACATCATCATTACACTTGCCTCTGCCTCTGAGCTCACTGGCTCACCCATGAAAGTTAACAGCAATATGGCACAGGGGCCAGTGAAAGACGGAAAGGCCTGGTATGCTTTCTGACTGGGCAGGACAGCCATGACTCAATATATTTTTATTAAGAGGCAGAATGAATCATATAACACTTCTAGGATTCTGGGATGTAGACAGTGTGTCCAGCTGTCTAAGGGTGGGATCTGAGAACCTTCAAATGCAGGTGTTCTGCCAAGTCTCATGACATCTGCCCAATGAGACGAGCCTGCTGTACTGACAACTAGTTTGCTTTCCTTTGGTTTCATTGGTTTTTGTAGATTCACACACACAGAGAGGAGCCAAATGTGTCAAAATAGCGAACAGAAGATGAACCAGAAGGATACTCCAGTACTAATCCTGTGCCTCGTGGAGAAATTAGATCCAATCACCCAGGACAGAAAGTGATCCAGACTGCCCAAAGCCACCAGGGGAATTACCCAAACAGGAAGATAACTGAATCCAGGATTTAACCTACTTCATTAAGAATTTGATTACAAGGTTAATCCTCCAGTTCAGCAGGCAGGAAAGCAATTATCAAGCCTCATTACAGGATCAACTTCCACATCAATGTCTTGAGTATTGGCATCAGTTTAAGCCCCAGATATAATGGGTTGGCTAAAAGGGCTGGTTTCATGCCAGGAGTGTGTACCATCCCGTGAGCCCCCCCAGTGAATGAATGAATTCTGGTCTCTGATGACAGGGTTTCAAGCAAAAGGGGCTGCCCCCTGTAGGCTTAGTTCCCAGCTGGTGGAACTCTCTGGGAAGGATTAGAAGGAATGGCCATGTTGTAGGAGATGTGTCACAGGGGGGGGGGGGGGCTTTGAGGTTTCAAAAGCCATACCCAGTTAGTTCTCTCTGCCTTTGCTTGTGAATCAAGGTGTAAGCTCTCAGCTCTTGCACTAGGCCTGCCTGCCTGCCTGCCTGCGGCCATGATCCCCACCATGACGGCCATGGACTCTAACTCTCTGCAACAGTGAACCCCAAACTGAATGTTTCCATTTATAAGTTTCCAATTGAAAAATAACTACAATAGGGAGTTTAGGTATACTCGCAGCTCTAAGTGTATCTGGATTGGCTAGTTATTAGCTTTAAAATCTTGAGCAATGGCTGTAATGAAACAAGATTTTGTTTTGCTTTTTCCAGCCATGTTATGTAGGAGGTTGTCTTTTCCAAGTAAACATCTTTCCACATGTTCTCCACTGCAGGGCAGTGTTTTCAGCTTCAAGGTTGCTGACTACTTTAAGGGGAAGTTGTGTTTAAGCACTGAAATCTCCTCCTAAAATGTTGGTGGGGGTTGGGGATCTATTCTCATTTGGATCTGAGCCCTACTCCAGCTCGGACTAACAAACCATGAGAGATAAGGAGAGGATAACCCCGCCTCTCAATCTTCAGTCTCTCCCTGGGCAGAAAAAGGCTGAGCTTCCTTCTAGGGACTCTCAGCTCTCAGCATCTCCCACACTGGTCTGCTTCTCTTCTGGACCCTTGCCTGTAGCTCGCTCCTGAAGGAAAATTCCTCTTCCCTGGGTCAAGTCTTAAGGAAGCCACTGAGCTGAATGAAAGGGAAGTGGGTTTAGAACTACTGAAATATACAGTTTCTAACACTAGCATGACAGAGGAAACCTCCCATATTATAGTCTCTCTCCCTTTCCTCTTTATTGTAAGGTGAAGCTGACTAAAACAGTATCAGTGAAATAAAAATGGCAATTTTAGATGACCAAGACTCATAAACTTTGGACGAATCTAAAATGTTTCAGACTTTTTTTTTTTTCTTAACGAGTTGTTCCTCATTTGTCAGAAATTTTTATTTGATGTCCCGAGTTACATCAGTTTTATGAATGAGCATTTTGTTACTTCTGTGATTCTTTTCTTCTCTAGTCTGGGAGGAATCAGTATGTGGTCCAGGAAAACTGACCCAGCCTGGGGCTTGAGGCAGAAAGGGGGCTGCAAAACACACTTCATGCTGTAATGACTTTGTTAGTGCTTCAGGTCATGATTAATGAGCTCACACAACTCACAAAAGCAGATAAAGCATGCCTTACTTTCTTACAGGCACACACACACAGAGACAAATTACACATATTCACATGCACATTCCTACAAAAAGTAATGTTACTTACCTGTTCCTGGAGTATATGCTTTAGCAGAGGGAGACTCAGGACAAACTTCACCCGCTGATTGGTCAAAGCTCTCATTTCATCCAAACTTAAATCATACCTGCACACAACACATACCACATGAGTCTGTCAGCTGCCAGAATAGAACCCAGAGCTCTGAGAGAACAGATGTTTTGGTCCTGTGTGTGTAACAACATCTGGGGTCAGCTGGAAGTACCTCAGGTGTTATTAAAATAAAGCTGCTGCCCTCCATCTCCTCTACAGAGCTTAAAAGATTGCAGACACTTTCATAGACTGAAAGGCCCAAGGGCAGAATCTGTTCCAGAGGGTAGAACTTGGGTGGTGTAAGGAGTGGACTGTGACAGTGTGAGGACGATTATTCAGGGTCAAATTAGTGACTCTCTGGCTCTACTGCGATGCTTTTGAATGAAGTTCAGAGTCGCTGGGAAGTTACTCTCCCATTTGGCTGTCCAAGCAGATGATTGAGCTTGACAAGGTCCTAGTAGTGTCGAAACTACCCTTGCTCAGTAAGAAACTTCTGCCCTTCCCCTATCCCACCCACATTCTGTCCTAGCTATGGCAAGGCTTAGGCTATGCTGTATCTGAGACTATCCAAGAAGCACTCTTCCTTCCTGTCTCCTATCACAGGGTCCTTCCTGCCCACCTGTATTTTGGAGGTATCTTTCACCAATCCCCCAATACTTTTGTCCTTCACAGGAATTTTCTCCATTAAGTCTCTGGCATGTCTAGTCCATCTTGACATGACATTTATTTCCCAACAAGCCTAAACCTAGGAGGAGAGGTTCCTCCGTGTCATCTGTTTCCATGCAAATCACAGTGGGAGCCTAGAAGAGCCTCATCCAGAGTTGATATTAGCCTCTGACTCTGATGGTATGGTGGCAATACCAAGACAAATCAGACTCTGAGATATTTTAGTCATGATTTTAAGACAAGCATCAAAATAATATTACGGTAAGCAGATTCAAGTTCTCTTAAAACAAATAGGAAAAATTCTCACCAAAGAAATACATTGTTTTTAAGGGGTTGGGGGCATTATGTAAAAGTTATATAACTGAAAAGTATGGTAGCCAAAATTAACTTAAAAATAAAAACACCTCTTTGATGAAAATAGCACCTCTGTAGGTGATAGAGAGCAAGTCTGTGAACGCCAAGAGAAAGTGCTAGGTCCAAAGAGTGTGTCCTCTCCCTTTCCTTTCTTTTCTATGTAGTCCTGGCTATATACTGGCTCTGTAGACTAGGCTGCTGGCCTGGAACTCACCACATGGGTTCTGGGGATCCAACCCAGGTCACTGGATCTAGCAGTAAATGTGAGCACTCTCAAGTTGGCCCATAAAATGCACTTCAAAGCAAATACTTAAAACAACCACTAGATGGAACTTGTTCTTCACGTGAACTGTCAACGCAACTGAAAGTTTTCAAAGAAGTCAAAGCTGGATGAAAAAAGCATTGGGAAACACGAATATTTGCTCATCACCACAGCAGTCCCCCTAAATAGGTGACAGTCTTTAAAGCTGAGGAATGAGAAGCTACGCAGCAGGTAAACCAGAGTTGTAGTCAGTCATGGGCACACTAACTCTAGGCACACACAAGCTTGACAGCTTCATTTCCTTATTTAAAGACCTTTGTTGGTTACTTCAAATACTGTTTGTAGAGAAATGGAGTAGAAGTCATACCCAACAGTTTACTTAGTATTTTCATAGCTGTAATTCCTATTCTGTTTTCCCGATTTTGTTGAATATGGAGATATTTGATAGATATTGTGCCCTCCATCTCACTCTACATACAGGGACCCCACAGAACTAAGAGACTTGTTAAATCTAAGAGTCAATGGCATTCATGCCAGAATTAAGAGCCAGGCCTGGCATGCTCAAGGCCATCTTGGGTCAGCCATGCAAAGTAGTGACATGGCAGACAGGGTCCAGCTGTAACCCAGGCAATCTCCTCACCATCTGACTCAGCTAGCTACTGGTATTCTGTGTGGGATTGCTTGAAAAAGAATATAACCAATTACTGAGAACAGACTTGAAAGTTATCTGCATTAGAGCATGTAATCAGCGGGAACTAAAGTCAAAGACCCTAGGTTCCACCTGTCCTGATAGAGGAGTCACTGGAAAGGGAGCACTGTAGGGGGCAGTAATGAACTCTCAGAATGAGAGATCTCTCCAGGAAACACGGTTCATTTAAAAAAAAAAAAAAAAAAGGCACAAGGTTCTAAGAGTGAACAGAGTCAAATCACACATGCCTGTTAAGAGTGCTAAGATACAGTGCCCTGCTCAGAGTATCCTGAGGACTGAGGTGCTCATGCAGGGGAGCCTGCCCTAGCCGTCCTGCCCATCAGGAGGCTGCCAGCATCCTGGTCCCACCTCCAAGCATGGGAGGGGGCAAGTGTGGGCCATTTCCAGCCTGCCTTCCAGTACCCTGCTAGGAGAGTCCTGAGGTCTGAAAGACCTAAATAATAATGACTTTTAGTCTTTAAAGAAAGAAATTAAAGAAGATACCAGAAAATGGAAAGATCTCCCATGCTCTCAGATAAGTAAGATCAACATAGTAAAAATGGCAATTTTGCCAAAAGCAATCTACAGATTCAATGCAATACCCACCAAACTCTTGGTACAATTCTTCACAGACTTTGAAATAACAATCCTCAACTTTATATGAAAAACAAAAGACCCAGAATAATCGAAACAACCCTGTACAATAAAGGAACTTCCAAGGGCATCACCATCCCTGACTTCAAATTCTAATATAGAGCTATAGTCCTGAAAACAGCTTGGCATTGGCACAAAAAATAGACAGGTAGACCAATGGAAACTAATTGAAAACCCTAATGTTAACCTACACACCTATAAACACCTGATTTTTTGACAAAGAAGCTAAATGTATGCAATGGAAAAAAGAAAGCATCTTCAACAAATGGTGCTGGCATAACTGGATAATTGTGTGAAGACTGCAGATAGATCCATGTCTATTGCCATGCACAAAACTTAAGTACAAATGGGTCAAAGACCTCAACATAAACCCAGCCACACTGAACCTCTTAGAAGAAAAAGTGGGAGGGAGCCTTGAACAAATTGGTACAGGAGACTGCTTCCTGAACATAAAACTAGTAGCACAGACACTAAGATTGACAAATAATAAATGGAACCTCCTGAAACTGAGAAGATTCTGTAACACAAAGGACACAGTCAACAAGACAAAAATGACAGCCCACAGAATGGGAAAAGATATTCACCAACCCCACATCTGACAGAGGGCTAATCTCCAAAATATACAAAGAACTCAAGAAGCTAGTTATCAAAACACCAAGTAATCCAATTAAAAAGTAGGGTACAGAACTAAATGGGAAATTCTCAATGGAGGAATGTAAAATGGCTGAAAGACACTTAAAGTGCTCAACATCCTTAGCCATCAGGGAAATGAAAATCAAAACAAATCTGAGATATCATCTTACTCCTGTCAGAATGGCTAAAATCAAAAACACCAAAGACAGTTTATGCTGGAGAGGATATGGAGAAAAGGGTACATTCCTCCACTGCTGGTGGGATTGCAAACTCATACAGTCACTTCGGAAATCACTATGACAATTCCTCAGGAAAATGGGAATTAGTCTACCTCAAGACCCACGAATTCCACTTTTAGACATATATTCAAAAGATGCACATTCATACAACAAGGATATCTGTTCAGCTATGTTCATAGCAGCATTATTTGTAATAGCCAGAACCTGGAAGCAACCTAGATGCCCCTCAACTGAAGAATGGATAGAGAAAATGTGGTACATTTATACAATGGAGTACTACTCAGCGGGAAACCCAATGGAATCCTGAAATTCGCAGGAAAATGGATGGAACTAGAAGAAACCATCCTAAATGAGATAGCCCAGTCACAAAAAGACAAACATAGTATGTACTCACTCATATATGGATTTTAGACATAGAGCAAAGGATCACCAGCCTACAATTGACACCTCCAGAAAAGCCAGAAAACAAGAACCCTAAGAGAGACATACATGGTCTTCTAGAGAAGGGGAAAGGGACAAGATTTCCTGAGAAAATTGGGAGCATGGAGGGAAGGGAGAAGGAGTTAGGAGAAAGAGAAGGGGAGAAGAGGAGGGGAGAGGTGGGCATGAGAGAACAGGAAGCATGAAACGGGAAAAGAATAGAGGAGGACAAGAAAAGAGATACCATAATAGAGGGAGCCATTATAGATTCAAGGAGGAATCTGGCATTAGGGAAATGCCCAGAGATCTACAAGGATGAACCCAACTAAGCAGTGCCCTTCCATGATAATGAGATTGATGACTACCTTATATGCCACCCTAGAGCCTTCATCTAGTAGTTGATGGAAACAGAAGCAGATACCCACAGCTAAACACTAGCCGAACTCTTGGAATCCAGTTACAGAGAAGGAGAAGTGATGAACAAAGGGATCAAGACCAGGCTAAAGAAAACCACAGAATCAGCTGACCTGAGCAAGGGGGGAGCTCATGCACCCCAGTCTGATAGCTGGGAAACAAGCATACGACTGACCCAGACCCTCTGAATGTGGTGTTAGTTAGGAGGACTGGGAAGTCTATGGGGCCTGTGGTAATGGATCAGTATTTACCCCTAGTATAAGAAATGGGACCTCCTCAAACTTAGAAGCTTCTGTAAGGCAAAGGACACAGTTGACAAGACCAAATGGCAGCCCACAGACTGGGAAAAGATTTTCACCAATCCTACATCTGACAAAAGGCTAATCTCCAAAATATACAAAGAACTCAAGAAACTAGTCAACAAAACACCAAATAACCCTATTAAGCAATGGGGTACAGAACTGAAGAGAGAATTTTCAATAGAGGAAATCAAAAAGGCTGAAAGACACTTAAGAAAGTGGTCAACATCCTTAGCTATCAGGGAAATGCAAATCAAAACAACTTTGAGATACCACCTTACTCCTGCCAGAATGGCTAAAATTAGAAACACCAATGACAATTCATGCTGGAGAGGATGTGGAGAAAGGGGAATACTCCTCCACTGCTGGTGGGAGTGCAAACTTGTACAGCCATTTTGGAGATCAGTATAGCAGTTCCTCAGGAAA